GGCTGAGTCAACCTTGAGCCGGTGAGATTTGAACAGCCGAACTGCAGATAGCAGTCAGCTGAAGTAGCCTTCAGTACTGCACCCTAACCACTGCGCCACCTCGGCTCTTTTAAGTCATGGAACATCAGAGAGTAGAGAAATGTGGAAAAGAATTCAGAAATTTTGGAAGTCTCTTGTAGCAGAAAAATAACTCTTCAAATACTCAGGATTCAGAACCATACAGAAGGGACGCTGGTATAAATTTGCATTCAGATATCCAAAAGTTAAAATGAACTCTCTGTCAGCATTCCAAATATCATCCAAAATTAAATCAGAGTCCAAGGCAGAACTTTCCTCAAACTTCCAATTTATTAAGAGAGACATGTTGGCACACCTGTGGAAAACCCGAATCTGAAAACCTCCTGGGTTTTCCACCCAGTTGAAAGTTCATGATCTTGCCCCCATACCCACAAGTCCATCACATGGTCCAATCTTCCACTGCCACACTGGCATTTCCACCCATCTAGTTCCGGTCAGGTGCAGGGGTGCAGAGACAAAGAATGACCTTGGGCTTCTAGAAAGGAATGTTTTATTTTGACAACAACATTCTACTCCTTACTATTCTCCCTCCCATTTCCCCACTAATGAAACGGCATAGTAAAATAAGAGAGTGTGGCAGGCGAAAGATCCTAAAAGGAATATGATTGGAGGCCTGACACTCTCATTACTGCCACAATTTATTCTGCATCCAGGAAACCGAAATGCTGAGATTAAGAAGCTGAATAGAGAATTGTTTCTGTGAGTGGCATCTGATAATGGAAAAAAATGAAGGGGAAAAAAACAGATTAAAGGATGTACTGTAGATTCTGAGGGAGGCATCTCTCAGTCATGGGATTAAAAGAAGCGTAAAACATATCAACAGATGGCCCACAAAAATCTCTAATTTCTAGAGATGCTTAGAGCAGAGAAACAGAAAATAAACTTTGTTACTGGTCTCCTACTTTACGCTGAGATATCACGATTTTTAGGCCTTGCAAGTTTTTCGAGAATCATTATTCCCACATTCCCTCATTATTTGTCTTGACAAAAACTAAATCGTTTTTTCAATAATGATTATCTATTCCTGAAAAAGAAGGCACCTGGACTCTAAAATGAACAGAACGGCAGTCTAATAAACTCTCAAAGGCACCTCTGATAGCTTATTAATCCCAATCATAAGACATTTTTCAATGTAGAAATGGCCAGAGGCATAAAAGAAATATTGGCTTTATGCTAATAATCATCCCAAAGAACAGACTCCTAAACTCAGCCTTCCTTAACCTCATTCATGGGGAGGATGGAAAACTACAGCCACATGATTTTTCACAGAATAAAATCAGTAGCAGTGTTCCAATATCTCAGGGGCTGCCACAAAGAAGNCTGTAGTTGTGAAATCTCATGAAAGACTGTTGGCCGGGACTTTGCTGGAGAGGAATTCACTTTAAACTAAATAAAGGGTTTTTTATCAGGATGAAGAGTTGGCTTCGTGCTTTTTGGGAAGCCTGGGCCAGAATAACATGTCTAAATCTCCCAGAGATGATTCTATACACGCTTATATTAAAACAAACCCCACTGTACTTAAGAAATTAATTAGTTGACATGAATAGGCTGGTTTATCATGAATACAAATATGCCATACCTGTGCTTTCTGACTTTCCCTGGGCTTTAGAGGGATTGGTTTGATCAAGTTGGGATTGTGGTATAGAGCAGAACTGATCATTTGTTTTGGCTCCGAGCATGTTTTACACTGCAACACACACACAAAAGGTATAATTTTATTCAAAAAGCAATGTTTCACCTCAAGATCGACAGAACTGTAGATTGTGAAATTGCAAAGATCAAGCCTAACCCTCGAAAGGTGACTGTCCACCCGCTTCTTTAAAATCTCAGAGGCACCGATTCTTAATAAACACCCTAGTAACACTGTTTCATTGTTTCCACAGATTTTACTGTCAGAACATTGTTCTTATAATTGGAACAAAAACTACCGTATTTTTCAGAGTATAAGACACACCCTTTTCCTTCAAAAATGAGGCTGAAAATCTGGGTGCGTCTTATACACTGAATACAGCATTTTTTGCCTCCTGAAACCCCGCCCCTTCATCAAAATGGCCATGCAGAGCCTGTAGAAGGCTTTCAGAAAAATACTGGGGGCTGGGAAGGCAGAAATGAGTGAAAAACAGGCTGTTTTTTTGCTCAGTTTCCCCCCCCCCTCAGCCCCCAGGACTCTATAAAGCTCCTAAAGGCTATGCATGCAATATTTTTGACAAAAATGGGCCTGTTTTGTGAAAAATGGGCCCTTTTTTGTTCGTTTTAGGGAGCCCCCCCCCCAGAGCACTCTGCAAGTCCCCTAAAAGCTATTCATGCCTTTTTTTAAAAAGGGGGGGGCATTTTTGGGAGGTTTACAGATACACATTTTTTTAAAAAAAAATTTGCCTCTTCAAAATCTTGGTACATCTTATATTCCTGTGCGTCTTATACTCCGAAAAATATGGTATGTAGCTGCATCCTGTACCAGGGGTGGGTTCCGGCTTTTGGTTCGCTCAGTGCACGCGCAGTACTGAAAAAATGCTTCTGCGCATGCACAGAAGCAAAAAAAAAAAAGAGATAGAACTGGTTCGGGGGTGTGGCAGGATGAGTTACTACCTAATTGGCCGAACCGGTAGGAACCCACCTCTGGCTTGTCCCCATTATGGTTAACACCATCACTGGAGTCAAATATAGTTAAATTCAGAAGAGAAACTTTAACTGCTAGGTTGAAAAATGACCACGAGAATCAAGGCTATTTGAAAGGAACATAAATATCATTTTATAGGAAGAAATAGCACATGCAATCCATAACAGAAGTACAATGCTAATTTCCATAAAAGACTTTATAAATGTGATTTTGTATTCCCGATTATCTACTCAGTTTGCATGCAATGTACACGTAAAACAAACTAAGGGCAAGGGACCCGTTTAAAGCAAGTCATAATGTTTGAACAAGTGTAGTTTCAGGTTCCAGATGTTATTACTTGTTTTTTACAGCTTCTGAAGATACATAAACATATGCTCTTCAAGATTTTTAAGGCACCATCGATCCTTTAGCAAAAACTCTATACTGCTAGGAAACTTACATTCAACTGTCTTCAATTATACACAATCTGATAGTAAAAGAGAAGGAAAAATGCAAAACTATACAAATTATAAAATCTGATAGACTTGTTACCTCAAAATTAAAAACTTCTTTATTCAAATCCAAACAAATCAAAGAAGCTGAGCTTTGAGCAAAAATAACCGGCATTCTCATTTTCTCTTGCAATGATATTCTATACAGAGTATGGGCCAATGGTCAGCAACCCACGGCTCTGGAGCTGCATGTGGCTCTTTCATCCCTCTGCTGCGGCTCCATGTCGCTCAAAATATGCATCAGAACTGCCAATGTGCGACACCCGCCNCCTGTTTTGCTTTGCTTGTTAAAACTGTACAAAAGCCAAATAAACTCTGCGTAAGGCAGACAGGCATTTTGGACACCACCGCTGTGATGGATTTCTGAAAACCTACATATCTTCAGCTTTGAGAGGACAGCTGTTCCTGCATCCCACTGCAGTGCCGAAGATAAATTTCTCTCTGGCCTAATATTTCCTTGGCAACCAGTTATAATAAAGAAATGTAGGTGGAGAAGTTAAGCAGCAGAAATAGACTGACTTGTTCTTCAGATAAATTGTTTCCAAACAAGTGGCTTGAATGAAACACAGAACACAATGGGAGGGAAAGGACCTTGTGTAGGTATGCTTTTTCCGTATACTCTTCAGGCTAAGGAGACAAACAAGTGTCTTTATACTTTATCTGCTGTTGCATACCATCTCAGCAGATATCACTATCTTTCTTGATTTCAAAGTAGCCTTTTCAATAAGGGCTGCTCAAATTGATAATATGGTATATAGCCGTGATGGCGAACCTATGGTACACCTGCCACAGGTGGCACGCAGAGCCTTCTCACCATGCATGCGCGCAGCTCCTGCCGGCCAGCTAATTTTCCAGTCTCCGCTACATTTGCAGGAGACACGCACACATGCGCAGGGAAGGCACATGCATGGGGGCACAGCCCCATTTTTGGTTTCAGGAGGCTTCAGGGAGACCTGCTAGGCTCAAAATGGGGCACAGAGGGTGTTGTGTGCATGTGCAGCGGGAGCACAGGGACGTGCGCATGCGCAGAGGGAGCATGGGGGGGTCATGAGCATGCACAGGGTTGTGGGCATGCGTGGGTGGGGCAGGGTGCATTGCATTATGGGTGTGGGCACACGTGTGGGCACTGTTGTGGGCATGCACACATGCAATTTCAGCACACGAGGAGAAAGGGTTAGCCATCACTGGTATATAGTTTAATATGAAAACCAACATCCTATTGTTTAAATCAGTGTTTCTCAACCTTGGCGACTTTAAGTCCTGTGGATTTCATCTTGAGAACCTAGAAATCTCTGTTGTCCTCTGCTGGCTGGGGAAGTCCTCTGCTGGCTGGGGAATTCTGGGAGTTGAAGTCCACAGGACTTAAAGTCGCCAAGGTTGAGAAACACTGGTTTAAATCCTTATTTCTGGCTTTCCTGCTTGGTAATCCCTAAGAATCTGCATTCAGAATGAAATAACTATTGATATTATTAGAACTGATTTCCTAGTAAAGCTACCTGAACTTAAGCAAGCCACAGCTAAAGATAACAGCTTCAAAATCACTTCAATTCAAAGGGATCATTTCACATTAAGTATAACAACAAAGGATTTTTTTTCTTTGAACGAATTAATGAATTTTCTTTGAAGGAATTAAAGACTTCAAAACTTAACTTACAAACGGGGGTACCGGAACCTGCTCCTCCCGGAAAACTCAAAACAAATTTTGATGACAGGTTCAAGTGCTGCTGGTAATTAAGTATTGACAGTAAATGGAGGGGTAGAGAAAGCAGAGGTTGACTCAGCCTTCCATCCTTCCGAGGTCGGTAAAATGAGGACTGAAATTGTTGGGGGCAATATGCTGACTCTGCTTAAAGAAGGCTGTAAGCACTGTGAAGCAGTATATAAGTCTAGGCGCTATTGCCATCTCACTATGCAGGGTGGCCTACTCAGAGAAAAAACAGGAAGATGAGGAGAAGTGCAGCGTCCATAAAATTTTACGTACGTGCAAACTGCCAAGCTCCCAAGTTTTTGTCATGTGACCGTTGGGGCACTGCCAGGGCAGAGGTGGGGTCCTGCCAGTTCGCAGCTATTCGGTAGAACCGGTTCGTCAAATCTACCGAACCGGTTAGAAGATATTCCACCAGTGGACCCAGAAAGCAGGCTACACCTACAGAAGAGGTTCCAAATTTTT